GGACATGGAGATCAAGTCCATTTTCCATGGCCTGGGTGGCCTTGGCACCTGGTCTTCGTGTTTGGACTTAGGGTTTAGGGTGTTCAGGTTTTAGGGTTTAGGGTTTAGGGTTGAGGGTTTAGGCTTTAGGTTTAGGGTTTAGGGTTGAGGGTTTAGGGTTTAGGTGCAGTTTGCAGTTCAATTTAGAATTATGGGAAGGCCGGCTCCGTACCACTAGCTGGAAAGTTTTTCGCGTTCCTAAACACGGGAACCAAAAGCCCAAACCTCTAAGCCCAAAATACTAAAATCCTCATTACTGGGACCACCCAAAAAAGTGTTCCCTAATTTTGGGAAACCCTTAACTCTTTACCGTCTAAGGCCACAAGCCCTAAGCCAGAAATCACGTGAAATGCCCTCAAGCCACAGGAGGTGATCTCACGCCTCCTGCCAGCGCTAAATGAGTGCTCGGAAACCTGGCCGACCGAGAGACTGCTTGGGGTTATACGAGCTATAGCCTAAACTCCTCAAAGGGAGTTGTATAAGAAATTATATAGGGGACTTCTATAGGGGTTATTAAGGGCGATACTAGGAGTTTAGACTATGGCTCATATACCTATTGGGATATACCGGAAAATTATTGGAAAAGATAATGGAAACTACAGCTTGGCGTTTAGGGTTTAGGGTCAGGTAGAATTACTACGCAGGCTAACAATGGGGATAACTGGGGTTACTAAGTGGCTTACTTGAGTTACTAAGCTACTTACTTTGTCCCCCTGACCCTCCAAGTAGTGTAGAAACCTGGATAGTTTGGATGCGGTCCTTTTTATGTTGGTATCTTCATCTGTTTGAGCCCTAAACCCTAAACCCTAAACCCTTGGTCCATCTTTCCCACTGAGAGTTGGATCTAAATCCAAATAGCGTCTCTGTGCCCCAACATAACCCCAAAAGCCTAAACCCCAAACCCCAAACCGTAAACCCCAGCGTGTGGGGCAGATGTAAAAAAGTCCTCCGGTCTCAAATCCGATAGTCCCCCTTAAGTAGATAGAATATGGGTTATATGGGGATCTTATTGTAATATACCCAAGCCGTATTCTAAGTCTATCTGCTTAAGGGGGACTATTAACCCTAATCTGGTTTTAGACGTGATCAGATCCAAGGAGTGGGGCCAGGTCTTCATCTTGGATGCACCTTGTCATCTGTGGAGTGGGATTAGGGTTTAGGGTTTAGGGTGGGGCATTTCAGGCAAAAATCAGTGTGGTAATGTATCCTTCGCAACAACTTTCCTTTCTTTTCTCCTAGAGCCTTAGAGAAACATTAAACACATTGTTTTTTTGGTTTGATAGGTTCAGGGAGATTACAGTGTGGTATCGTTTCAACGCATGTGGTATCAAGTCCTGAGCAAAAAAGATTGCAGTATCCAGGAGCTTAGAATTATGTAGGCATGTACGAGTTCCGTGGGTATTGGTGAGCCAGTGGGGATGAAGTTTCTTTTTGTTCTTACGTTTTCTACGAAAACTTGTCGCTCTCCTATTGTCCTGAAAGCTAAGGAAGCTTACTTAATTTGTTTAATGTGATGCTAGCTTGTGGGCTCAGCATTCGGCCTTTGTCAGCAATTTGAAGTTAGTCCTAGCTTCTAACCAAGATCATTTTACCAATGAACGAACATATCTATGCTCCCCACGTGCAAGGCACCCCCTTCACCCTTGCTGCCGTTTTACCAATCTCTGGAAATATGGTAGTTTCCCAAAATCAGGGGACCCTAAAGTATATACGCCCAAAATATTATGGGGACCCAAAATGGTACCACGAATTTGAGGAAACCTGAAACCCTAAACCCTATATATCCCTATATACCCTTATACACCCCCTTTGAAGGGTACCCCATATTTCTCCTGAGGCACTGGCGACCTATGACCCACCGAACTCCAAGGTGGCGGAAGCTATCCTGGAGAGAGGCCTTGAGCTTTCTTCGTGATTCGCTTTATGACCTGTTTATGAATGTTGCTCAAAGGGTTTAGGGTTATATTGGGGTTATATTGTCATAATGGAAAGTAAAGAAGAAACTACTATGATGGGTTAATGACCTACGTATATCATATAGGGATGATATGGGGATAATGGAAAATACAATGTAAACTAGTAGCTGTTTATGAATGTTGCTCAATATTTGACAAGTACGATGGCTTAGGAGGACCCCCCCACCCTGTAATAGTGACTATTATGGGGGATTATATTAGGGTCCTCTTATATTCCTATTATGCCACTATTACAGGGTGGGGGGTCCTCCTAAACGATGGCAATCACTATTTCCTGTCATCGAAAAGCCATGGATCCAGAAGTTATTGAATTTTAAATCATGATTTAATGGTTCTCCTTAGGTACCTTGATCAACCTACCTTTGTGACAATTAAATCAGGATTTAATATGTCTGGTGTATTATGGAAACAGAATTCTTCAAAATCCTG